ACAGTACAGTTGAGTACAGTATATAGGCTGTCTCTTATACACATCTAGATGTGTATAAGAGACAGCGTCCCCCCACCACACATATTTCATATTTTTAAGTGGGGTTGGTCTCCTCACTTTTCTTCCGCAATGTTCATTTGAAAAATACAGTAATTTTAGGTTTCTATGATCTATTTATTTAATTTGAAAAATTTGTAATGTAATGTAATAATAACTTGTCTTTATCACTTTACAGTTCTTTAACCTTTTTTCCATGTCTTTTCTTTTCTTTCATTCGTATTCATTCCTATTCTATTTATGTTTGGATCACTCATCTGAATATTACATACATATAGGTAAAGGTCGAAACCTGAAACAGACCGTCCTTCTCTATTTCCTTGGCGTTTGGGCCAGAGTGCAAGTCTGTGGAATGTGGGGGGGGGGGTGTTGCCACTCCACCCGAACAGCAATACTTTTTACCTTCCCCCTATGTTGGTACCCATTTATACTCATGGATAGAGAGACAAATGGAGATAAAGTGCCTTGCCTAAGACACAAACGACTTGCACAGCCAGTTTTCTGATCCCTGACCTCTATAAGTTATATATTATATGGAAGCAGACGAAATATATTGAGAAAATACCTAATACCTTGACACCAGATAAGCAAATATGTATCTAGGCCTATATTTAACTTCCAGTGATCCTATATTATATTACCAATTCTATCATTTCTAATTGAATTTTCAATCTTAAATTCACTAAACGTAGCTCGTGTTCATGATAGTATAATACATACTCCAAGTATCGAAATGCACGCCATCGTGTCGGGATTCAATATTTCGACATTAATTATGTTATCATCAGGACTTAAAAATTATTCATATTTGCAAGCTTATATATGCACAAGTACCAAAAGTGTTTTACCAATCAAGCTCGTGTTCCTTCAGACCATTCATATACCATGAGCTAATAAATATAATTAAAAACAACAGCCATTTTTGGCTGTTTAGTGTGTTTAGTGAAGTAGATGAGTGTTCAAAGTCCCTTGATTATCTTATACAAATATCACAGGCATTCGGCTGATTACAATGCGTAGACCTACACGCATTTTGATTGTGCAAACATTGTAATGGATTACACATATTATTATGATCTAGGATATCATTGGTTTTGAATTTTGGAATATGCCTGTTTGTTTGGAATCATGGATCTAGTGTCTAATTAATTTGACTTTCTTTTTGTTTACAAAAGCGCAAAAAGCTTAACTATAATAATATTATAAAATATGTATTAATTTTTTATTTTATCAAATATCATTCAATATTACTAAAACTAACAATAAAATAATATTAAAATGGCATAAATATATCAACATTTAGATTCCTTTATTTACAAATTTATAGAATTACCACAATAATACGTTTAAAGTTATAACTATCATATCTATTTTATCATAGGCCTAAGTTATATATATATATATATATATATATATATATATATAAATAAATAAATATATATATATATGTAAATAAATAAATATATATATACACACACATATATATATATTTATATATGTATATATATATATATACATATATATATATATATATGAACATGATGTTATCCATCCAATATTTGTGTTCGCAGTGCTATGCAGCAAACACTTGATTTGAATATATTTATATACATATTTACTAATAGTTAAACTATACAGTTACTAACATCTAGGTTATTGTTCTTAAATTACTAGATCAAGTGACCAATAGAAAAACAAAAAAAAATGGGTTGTGACTGTTTAACCGGGATGATCAGGTTGATCATGTTCGTCATCAACGTCGGCATATGGGTGAGTAAACAAATTAGCGCCGAAGATATCGCACACATCCGTAAGTGACTAAACCAGTATGCATGTGACTGAAAGGGAAGGACCTGCAATGCTAATTATACACAAACAGTTTTTGTTGAGCCCTGTCCGGACTATCAACATGTGACGTGCCTAAATATGGTCGTGATGACATCACATCATGACCATATATAGGCGCATTATGACTATATATGGGCATACAGCAGTGTTTTGTCAAACGAAAATTTAATAGTGTGGACAGAACTTCAAAATCTTAACACTAGACAATATTATTTGATCGGACTTTTGGAAAAGCACTGACAAATTTCTGAGATAAAGAAAAAAAAACGTGAATTAATAAAAAATAAAAAATATTAGTTAATCACCCCCCCCCCCCC